ACCGGGAGATTGAGATATATTTAGATGTAAGGATGTCCATCGTAACAGCTGTGTAGCTATTTGAGCGGGAAAACCTGGATTTACTCCCTACTCCGGTTATGAAGGAATTACTGCTGTACGTCCGAGGTTGAGCACCTCGGTCCTGCCCCTACAATTCGGCTAATCGATCATATCACGGCAGTGAACCCAACAACAGTATAATATTCCAACATTCGATGGCAATGGGTTTTATAGTGTAATACTATAATAGAAGTAGCTATCTGGACGGTGGCTTTATTCACAGTAGGAATTCCAATTACAGGGCACTCACTTTAATGGGCCGGACATTAATTTGCTTTATGCAAATAATTATATTATATCACCAAGTGACTGATAGTGCTTGAGTCGTCTTTTTTCTTCTTATTCTTCTCTATAAAACCCAGAATTGAACTCCTTGCTATCTAGTAGTATACACAACAAAAAATTTCCACAAAAAATTGCCATATATGCAGCCCAATATCACTTCAATCAAAACATCCTCGGATGGAGTCTGGCAAGGGGATAATCCCCTCAACTACGCCTTTCCCTTGCTCATAGTTCAGTCCACCTTAGTCCTCTTCACCAGTCGCTCCCTCGCCTTCCTTCTCAAGCCCTTACGCCAACCCAAAGTTGTCGCCGAGATAGCAGTATGTGAATGTTATGATTTCTCCAAAGAACCAAACGAACCAATAGCCAAACCGCACCCATATGTTATTTGAATATGTAACTCAAGTACTTACAAATCGTTTTGTCCATATAGACCAAACAAACCTGTCAACTACCCAAATTATTATTTTTTCTAAAAAATATGTCAATAGAAGGATTTGAACCCGTAACCATAATAATAAGATTTGCATGACTACTCTTTGGGTTTTTTTTTTTTTTTTCACCCTGCATGACTCTTTGTTAATTAGCAAACTCTAATAGATCATATTCGTATGTTCTTTTTTTGGCTACCTCATTTTCTTCATTTGAGAATTTTTTTTGTGTTTTCAGGGCGGGATCTTGCTAGGACCGTCTGCTCTTGGCCGGAACAAAGAGTTCTTACACCTGGTTTTCCCCTAATGGAGTACCCCAATTCTTGAATCCGTCGCCAGTATTGGTCTTCTCTTCTTTCTCTTCCTCGTTGGACTTGAGCTTGATTTGAGCTCTATTCGGCGAAGCAGCAAAAAAGCATTTGGCATTGCGGTCGCCGGGATGTCTGTACCATTTTTCTTTGGCGCTGGCGTTTCCATTTTCCTCCGGAAAGCCGTTCACGGAGACCACCAAGTAAATTACAGCCAATACCTCATGTTCATAGGAGTGGCCTTCTCCATAACGGCTTTCCCTGTTCTCGCCCGCATTTTAGCAGAGCTCAAACTGCTAACCACTCAGGTGGGCCAGACTGCCATGGCGGCGGCTGCATTAAACGACGTCGTTGCCTGGGTCATGTTGGCTCTCGCGATCGCTATATCCGGTGACGGGCCGGGTGAGGCCCATAGGAGCCCGTTGATATCCATATGGGTTTTATTATCCGGTCTTGCCTTTGTTGCTTTCATGTTCATCCTGGTCCAGCCCATCATGAATTGGATGGCCCGCCAGTGCTCGCCCGACTACGACTTTGTCGGCGAAACTTACATATGTCTGACTCTGGCCGGAGTTATGCTCTCCGGGTTCATAACCGACATGATCGGAATCCATGCAATATTCGGCGCTTTCGTGTTCGGACTTACGATCCCAAAAGGCAGCGCGTTCGCCGGGAGACTGATAAAGAGGATTGAAGATTTCGTTACTGGATTGCTTCTTCCTCTTTACTTTGCGTCGAGCGGATTAAAGACGGATGTGGCAAAAATCCGTGGGGCAGAGGCGTGGGGGCTGTTGGTTCTTGTTATAACGACAGCATGCACGGGGAAGATTGT